TTATTATCTACAATTCTCTAGTAGCCACATTAAAAAAGGTAAAAAGAAACATATGAAATTAATTTTGATTATATGTTTTACTTAACCCAATATATCCAAAATATTATTTTCATATGTAATCAATATAAGACATTATTAATGAGATACTTTACAGTATTTTTTTCCTACTGAGCCTTTGAAAGCTGATGTGTATTTTACACTTATAACACATCTCTATATGGAGTAGCCACATTTCAAGCCATGTGTACCTGGTGGATATTGCACTGGGTACTGTGATTCAGTACCATGCCAATCATTTGACTCTATAACCAAGTTTGATCAAAGTAGATTATTTTCAGTTTTAAGACCGTCTCTTCTAAATTCCTTGTGTTTTTCCTTTCTTCATTATTTGTGCCATGTTTCTTCAAATGACTTCTCCCATTTCTGCCTCTTTAAATCCCATGCATTTTTTTAAGATCCTACTCAAATGATTCCTCTTCTACAAAACCTTCAATGATTGTGTTAAATAGGCAGGAAAGATTAATTCGAGACACTAGAGATAGGCTCACATTTATATTCAGTAGAGCCACACATTTATTTTTCAAATTGAAAAAATAAAATTGCATCTCCATGTTACAACATGCACAAAAATCGATTTCAGATGAGTCAAAGGCCTAAATGTGAAAAGTGAATCTTTAGAACGTCTAGGAGAAAATATATGAGAGTATCTTTATGACCTCCAAATAGGGAAGAATTTCTTAAATAAAAAAAAAAAAAAGGAAGTGAAACTAAAGAAAATAATAAATCTGACTCCATTAAAAAACTTCTGTTCATCAAGTCATTAAGAGTGAAAACAAGTTATAGATTTAAAGATTTATTCATAATACATATAATCAAGAAGGATTAATAACCAGATTTGGCAGAGAACTCCAAAAATCAGTAAAGACAAACCAATAGAAAAATGGGCAAAAGACACGGACGGGCAATTCATAGGTGAGTAACCATGGTTGATAAATAGGAGAAAACACTCAGTCGTACTAATAATCATGGAACCGCCATGTAAATCAAACCACCATGAGAAATTCTCACATCTATTGGATTGTTTTTTAGTAATCTGACAATACCAAGGATTGGATGTGGAGCAACAGAATCTTTTATTTTTCTTATTTAAATTTATTAGTTAACATATAGCTTGATATTGGTTTCAGGAGTAGAATTCAGTGGTCCATCACTTACATACAACACCTAATGTTCATCACATCAAGTGCCCTCTTTAGCCCATCCCCCACCTGGCCCATCTGCCACCCACCTCTCCCCATCAACCCTCAGTTTTGTTCTCTATCATTTATCTCTCTTTTGGCTTGTTTCCCTTTCCTTTTTTTTTCTTTTCTCCCTTCCCATATTTTATCTGTTTTCTTTCTTAAATTCCACATGAGTGAGATCATACGGTATTTGTCTTTCTCTGACAGATTTATTTCACGTAGGATAATACACGTTTCATCCACGTTGCTGCAAATGGCAGGATTTCATTCTTTTTGATGGCTGAGTGTGTAAGTGTTTGATTTCCGTGTGTATGTATCACATCTTTTTTTTTTTTTTAAGATTTTATTTATTTACTCATGAGAGACACAGAGAAAAAGAGGCAGAGACACAGGCAGAGGGAGAAGCAGACTCCATGCGGGGAGCCCGATGCGGGACCCCGGGATCACGACCTGAGCCAAAGGCAGAGGCTCAACCACCGAGCCACCCGGGTGCCCCATATCGCATCTTCTTTATCCATTCATCAGTTGATGGACATACAGACTTTTTCCAAAGTTTGGCTATTGTTGACAATGTGAGCAATTGAATCGTATACACACCCATCAGGAGCGTGTACTTCTACAACCACTTTGGAGAGCACTGTACTATGATCTGGTAGTGCTGATGACGTGTTTGTGACACAGTGATTCTACTCCCTAGAAGGCACAACTACAAGAAATGTCCATGGCAGCATTGTTTGTAACAGCAAACAACTGGAAACACCTATTTATGAACGGAGGCGATGAATAAAAATTGTGATGCAGTCATTACTATTATGGGGTGGATTGTGTCCCCCCCTACCTCCAGATTACTATGTTGAAGTCCTAACCCCGAGCATCTTAGAATGAGACTCCATTTGGAGGCAAGCCTTTCTTTTACAGGAGTGATTAAGATAAAATGAAGTCATATGGGTGGGCCCTAATCCATTATGGCCGGTGTCCTTATAAGAAGAGGTTAGGACGCTGACAATTTACAGACCAAGGAGTGAAGACAAAATAAGAAGGCAGCCATGTGCAAGCGAAGGAGATGTATCAGAAGAAACCAAATTTGCCACACCTTGATCTTGTACTTTTTAACACCCAGTACCGTGAGAAAACAAATTTCTATTAAGTCACCCAGTCTATGGTATTTTGTGATGGTAGCCCTAGAAAAGGACAGTTGCTATACAACAGTTGATTATACAATTCAGTCTATTACTATACAGCATTACTAGACAATATTGAAAATTAATTATGCAGGATTTAACATTGTGGAATTTCACAATGATCGGCAAAAAATCCAAGTTGCAGTAGAATACATACAGTTTGGTGCCATTTATAAAAATCTTTAAATATTTTTAAGGAATATATACATATATAAATCCTAAAAATCTAAAGAAGCGCGTGGCCGGGGTAAATACCAAATTCAGGATAGTTTCCTTTGGAGTTGAAGTGAACTAGATGTCATAAGAGAAGGGCCTATTGGAAACTTTTTCGTAATAAGTAGAGTATATCGTTCTTTAGGGGGGAGAGTGGTGAGGAAAAGATTATATATTCTTCTTTATACCTTTTTGTGTATGTGAAGTAGTTCATTATGATTTTTAAAGAAAGGCTAAGATCAAGAACACTGACTTCTAGTTCCTTTAGAGCTCCGAGGGGCTCGAGAAAAATCTGATTTAGCCATTTTATTTAGACTGGGGAAACTGAAGAACTGTGTAACTTTCTGGTTTCTAGAAATAACTAAACCCAGATTTCCTGTCTCTTTATTAAATAAATGGTTTTTGAATATAGTTCTTAGAGAAGGAAGTGGTGATCGCTGAGTCAGTTATGAGCTTGTGGAGCTTAATTTCATTTTCTTTCCTCATCGAGTTTACTTGATAAGGAGAAGAAATGCTCAAGTTATAGTTTATTTTCATTAGAGCAAGTCACTTGATGAAGTTTTATGGGCTCCTTGGGAAAGGATAGCGAATGTTGCCAGGTATTGACTATCATTAGGTGGGATAACTCGTGGTTTAAGAACAACAATGGAAGATGAATAATCAATCATGAATCAGTGTCAACCATGAGGGGGAAAAGCTCTATTTTAAACCATGTTCTATTCAACATATTTATCAAGACTTTTTTTTTAATTTTTTTTTTATTTATTTATGATAGTCACAGAGAGAGAGAGAGAGAGAGAGAGAGAGAGAGAGAGAGAGAGAGAGAGAGGCAGAGGGAGAAGCAGGCTCCATGCACCGGGAGCCCGACGTGGGATTCGATCCCGGGTCTCCAGGATCGCGCCCTGGGCCAAAGGCAGGGGCTAAACCACTGCGCCACCCAGGGTTCCCTATCAAGACTTTTGATAAAGACAAGTTAAATACGTTGATTTCAAAGGGCTGATCTCCTGACCTTTCAGGCGACGTTAACTGCACTGACCACATTCTTTTTATCTGGACTATTTATTTATTTATTCATTTATTTTTTAAATTTATTTTTATTTATTTTATTTTTTTATATTTAAAAGTATTTACTTATTTAATTTATTTTTTATATTCAAAATATTTATTCTATTTTTTATATCTAAAAAAATATTTGTTTTATTTATTTATCATTATTTTTTTATTTATTTACCTGGACTATTCATTTACTCTTCCACTAGACAGATTCCAGGGGTCATTTATTTGCTCTGGAATCTTCTAGGTTGCTACTTGGCACCCAGTGGGTCTTTAACACATGCTTGTCCGCCTTAAACAAAAAATGAGTTGCCAGACAGGATCATAATTCCAAGAGTCCAGGAGACAGGAGAAGAGACTTAAGCTAACTGGATACTATTTAAAAGACACAAATCATTGCTTGGGAACCTAAAAAAAGAAAAAAAAAAAAAGAAAAACAACAACACGAATGTTAATTGCACGAGAAAGAGAGAAGCAGCTGAAGAGTGGTCCAGCTAAAAAAGCCCCTCCCCTCCCCCTCTATCATTATTCTCCTCCCCCCCCCCTCTATTTTTTGAGAGGTGGGAGCAACCGTGAAAAGGGAATCAATCCTTCAGTTCATTTGCAAGAGATTCAGGTCTCCGAGCTACGCGCAAGGTGATGCCAGAAACGGAGCAGAAGGCGCAATGCGCACGTTAAGGGAGGTCGCTGCCCCATTTTTTTTTTTTGATTTTTTTTTTAAATTTTTTTTTTCGCTGCCCCATTTTATTTAGGGGGGGGGGGGAAGTCTGTACCCAGTCCTGGGGGCCGCATTTTAAAGCAGCACAAACAAGGACTTGTTCAGACCACGGCGACCTCTTGTCCTCTGCACCTCCGCGCACCATCCCGCATCCTGATGCTCGCGTGTGCCCTGGTCCTCCGCCCCCCACCGCGACTGCGCGGGCGACCTCTTCGCCCCCTCAAGCCCCCTCAAGCCTCCGGGGACTCGACGACGTCAACTCGGCGGCGCACAGGGAACGCGGCGTTTTTCGGAACCGCGGGAGGCTACCTCTGACTGTGCTCTCGGGGGCTCTCCCCTCCTCCGTCCCTGGTCTCCTACAGGACACGTCGGCGGGCCCCACCAGGCTCCGCGGGCTCCCGAGACGCCTTCCGCCGCCGCCTCCCAACTCAGTCGTCCAAAACCTGCGACTCTCCTCCCGGCTCGGGCTCCCCTCTATGGTGGGGAGAGGCGAGCTCCTCCTGCCCCTCTAGCCCTCCAGCGGAGCCTCTATGGTTCCCGCGGGCCTCACCGGAAGCGCTCGGGAGGAGACGGCTTCCGGAGACCGGAAGTGGCGTCCTCACCGCTCGCCGTTTCAAAATGCCGCTGAGGCCTTGGGGCCTGTGACTGGCGCGCCCTGCCCCCGCGCCCCGGGCCCGGCGGGGGAGCGACTCATGGAGCGGCCGTGAGGTGTGGCTCTAGGGCCTCGGCGGCCTGGTCCCGGGCGGCCGCGGGGGAGGGGGGGCGAGGGAGGAGGGGGCGGGCGGCGGGCGCGGCGGGCTCCGCGGCCTCGGGGCCGGGGCAGCGGGCGGGGCTTGCGGCCCGGGTGGCGGCGTTGGGGCGGTGGCGCGGGGCGGAAGGAGGCCCCGTGGCGGGGGAGCCGGGGGCGGACGCTTGGTTGCGCGATGGGGCCCCGCGGAAGGCAAAAATGGAGGTGGAGTGACGCGCTGCTGCCGTCCCGCCGTCCCGCCGTCCCGCCGTCCCGCCGTCCCGCCGCGGGGCTACAGCCTAGGGTCGGAGTCGGCGGCGGCGGCGGATGTTCAACGGGACGCAGCGAGGGGGGAAGGGCGGACATGGATGTCTCCCGAGATGCGAATGGAGGGACCGCAGACGGTCGGGGCTGGGCCGCGGGCCCTGTTTGGGGCCCCAGCCGGGCCCGCCCAGACCGAGCCTGGGCCGACGGGGCTCGGGCGTCTGTATTCCCACCCGCACGCCTTCCCGCTGGCTCTGCGCCCTCCGAACTTTGAGGCCCACCCTGCTAAAGCGGCACCCACCCCCCCCCTCCCCGCCCTCGCCAAGGCGCTCGTGTCGGCCAGGCAGCTCCCAGGCAGCTCCCAGCGGGTGTCAAAGCTACTTGGTGTCGTTGGTGCCCAGGGTCCCGCCTCTCAGCCTCGGTTCTGGCTCCTCCCCGCTCCCTGCCTCCCTGACACCAGAAGGTGATTTAGAAATATTTATGTCACAGGTTATTTCGTCTCTCACAGTGCTTGCAGGTCGGGATCACACACGTTTGTAGTTTATTTAAAAAAAAAAAAAAAAAGGGGGGGGGGATCCCTGGGTGGCGCAGCGGTTTGGCGCCTGCCTTTGGCCCGGGGCGCGATCCTGGAGACCCGGGATCGAATCCCACGTCGGGCTCCCGGTGCATGGAGCCTGCTTCTCCCTCTGCCTGTGTCTCTGCCTATTGATGCAGTTTTAGGTTGTTCCTGGCGTTAATGTTCTGCACACTGTGCTGGAGTATACTCTTGCTACATACACATTTTACCTTGTAGATGTGTAGCCGACTTGGTAAGAACTAAAACAACGTCTGAATAGTACAGTTTTCTTTTTTTTAAAGTTGTTTTTATTGCCCTCAAGTATATAGTTGAAGGAATCAGACAGTAGTGTTTAGTAGAGGTCCTTAGGGCTTTAAAGAATTAAGAATGGTTAATTCTGCCACCTTCTGACAAGTTTTTGATCTGTCTTAAAATCACACTTGTTTTCAAAGGTAGAAATTTGGAGATGAAGCATAGGAGTCTTTTGGACTAAATGATGGTAAAACCAGTCTTCCATTATCACTGAGAGATGAATAAACTGTTGTCTGATTTCAGTCCAGTAGAGGACACAGAAAACACAAATATAATGTGGTAAGTGGTAATAGAGGGGCTCTAGTGACATCAGCTTCCCTTGGAGTGTCAGCCTTGACCAAGGAAGTGACTTTTGACCTAGGCAGAAGAATAAGAATAATGGAAAGTAGATCACAGAAGAGGAGAAAGGACAGGTGCCTGATATTATCTGAGTCCATTGGCAGTGGATTTCAAACTTTTTAAACCATGACTCCCAGTAAAAATAAGTTTTATATTGTGACCTAGACACATAAGAGGGGGAATGGTTAAGAACTCTGGTTCTGCAGCCAGGGTGCTTGGACTCTAAGACCGTGATTTTGAGGAAATTATCTTCCTCTCTACCTCAGTTTCCCCCTTGAAAATGGGGACAATAATATATCTACCTAATAGGATCTTTATAAAGATTAAATGAGTCATTGCAAAAAAGTGCTTTAAAGAGTGCCTGATACCAGGGTGCTTAACTGTGTTGTGTTGGTTATTTTCAATAACAGAAACAGGTTTCACAGAACAAAGCTTTGTTACTTTTATTTTCTGTACTATTTCATTAGTGGAGGGGATCAGTAATGACTCACTGGGGTGCAACTTGTAGTTTGAGAAATTCAGTACAAGAAATGCCTAGGAGGTGAGTAGTAAAAGGGCTTGACACATTCAAGAAACTGAGTCATCATTCATCACAGTGGGGATTGTAAGTTGGAGACAGGTCCAGATGTATAAGCTCATGCACACATACCCAGGGAGGGGAGTGAGAGTATGGAAATGGAAGTGCTCCCTGAGTCAGCTCTACTGGCCCATGTGCAATAATAGTTCTTCAGTCTTCAAATGCACTGAAAAACCAGAGTACTTTGGCCTGCCCTGGGATACCCTTAGTTCTGTTGTGTTGTGGAATGAAGTGGTGGAATTGACTTCTCTCTCTCTCTCTCGCTTGCTTGCTTGCTTTCCTTTCTTTTCTTTCTTTTTTCCTGCATTTTATTTATTAGAGCAAGAGGGAGGGGCAGAGGGAAAGGGAGAAGCCGACTCCCCGCTAAGCAGGGAGCCCTCTGTAGGGCTCACTGTGAGGACCCTGAGATCATGACTTGAGCCAAAGACAGATGCTTAACCGACTGAGCCATGCAGGCACCCCGTGGCTTCTCTGTCGATAAACCTATCTCTCTTGAGGAAGTCCTTTTGGGGTTTTTTTTTTGTTTGTTTGTTTTTTAAGTTGAAGTATAAACACACGATGTCGCATTCATTTTAGGTGTATACAGTGTAGTGATTTGACAGCTCTATACATTATGCTGTGCTCACCACAAGTGCAGCTACTACCATCTATCACTCTACAACGCTAGTACAATACCATTGACCAATACCCTGTGTTGTACCTTTTATCCTTGTGACTTACTCGTTCCATAACCAGAAGCCTGTATCTCCCATTCCTTCACCCATTTTGCCTGTTCTTCTATCTCCTCCTTTCTGGCAACCATCAGTTTGTTCCAGGGAGAGTTTTTTTGAAAGCAAGAAAACTGCAAAAAGAACTTTCTTCCCGGGATCCCTGGGTGGCTCAGCGGTTTAGCCCCTGCCCTCAGCCCAGGGCGTGATCCTGGAGTCCCGGGATCGAGTCCCACGTCGGGCTCCCTGCATAGAGCCTGCTTCTCCCTCTGCCTGAGTCTCTCCCCCTCCCCCACTGTGTTTCTCATGAATGAATAGATAAAATCTTTTTTTTTTTAAAAGAACTTTCTTCCCTCATTTACTTATTTTTAAAGATTTTATTTATTCATGAGAGACACCGAGAGAGAGAGGCAGAGACACAGGCAGAGGGAGAAGCAGGCTCCATGCAGGGAGCCTGACACGGGACTCGATCCCGGGATTTCAGGATCACAACCTGGATTGAAGGAGGCACTAAACTGCTGAGCCACCTGAGCTGCCCTACCTTCATTTATTTAAAAGTAGGCAAATTCTCTTCAGCTTTTTATGCTCATCTCTGAGGTTTATTATTAGCTGGAAAGAAACCTTTCCGGAGAGCCAAAGCAGTTCCAATTAATAATGTAGATTCTTTTTTGTAACTGAAGTATTTTCTAAGAGTACCAGTTTTTTCAAGATGCAGTAGATAAATGGAATTTTTGTGATTTCTTTCTATTTGGTGTATACCATTCAATAAAGTAAAGACTATTTTAATTCAGTATTTTTTCTATTTTTTCTGACTTTTTAATGGAAATATTTTTTTTAAAGATTTTATTTGTTTATTCATGAGAGACCCACAGAGAGAAGCAGAGACACAGGCAGAGGGAGAAGCAGGCTCTATGCAGGGAGCCCGACGTGGGACTCGATCCCGGGACTCCAGGATCACGCCCTGGGCTGAGGGCAGGGGCTAAACCGCTGAGCCACCCAGCTGTCCCTTAGGTCAGGATTTAAAAAAAAATTACCACCGTGCCTTTTTACTACAATTAACGCTTTCTTTATATCTACAATCTAGTATATAATTTAAAATTTTAGGATTGTTTAGAGAAAAATGGAATTTATAGATGGTTTCTTTGAATCAGGACTTGAATGAACAAGGTCCAAATGCTCTGTTGAGTTTGTTTTTTAGCCTAAGTACGTCTCCCTACGTAGCCATACCCCTCCCCCCATCTGAAATCCCTACGTTCTGAGATTTCCTACATTCTGGGTTTGGCTAATTGTTTGCTTTTGGTATTATTTATTCCTTTACCCTCCATTTTTTCTACAAACAAGTAATTAGATGTAGAAGCTTGGTTAGTTGTTTTATTGTCAAGAATACTTCATAGGAGGTTCTGGGTGCTTCCTGTTGGTTCATATCAGGAAGTGCATGATGTGTGAATGACTGTCTCTTTTAGAGAGTTTTGTTAGTGGTCAGGTATACTCAGTCGTCTTTGTGTTTTAAGGTCCCCCCATCCCCCAGTCTTTTAAAAGGTTTATCATCGGGATCCCTGGGTGGCGCAGCGGTTTGGCGCCTGCCTTTGGCCCAGGGCGTGATCCTGGAGACCCCGGATCAAATCCCACGTCGGGCTCCCTGTGCATGGAGCCTGCTTCTCCCTCTGCCTCTCTCTCCCTATGTGACTATCATAAATAAAAATTAAAAAAAAAAAGGTTTATCATCTATTAATGGTTGTTGAGGTGATATTTAATCTGAGACTAGAAGGTCTCAGATGAGTCAGTCTTGCATGGAATTCACAGTGCTACAAATGAAGGAGCAGTATGTGCAAAGGCCCTGAAACAGGAAGTAAATGCTCTGAGAAACTAAAAGATCAGTTGGTGAGGTGCAGGGAACATGGAGAAGAACATGAGGTACGAGAGGAAAGACTGGCAAGAATAGGGCTAGATTCTGTGTTTAGAGCAGTAGCAAGCTTTAGAGCAGGGCCTGGCACTGTAGGATTAGGTGTTTGCTTTTTTTTTTTTTTAATATTTTATATATTTATTCATGAAAGACACACACACACACACACACAGGCAGAGGCAGAGGGAGAAGCAGGCTCCACGCAGGGAGCCCAACGACGTGGGACTCAATCCTGGGTCTCCAGGATCACGCCCTGGACTGAAGGTGGCGCTAAACCGCTGAGCCACCGGGGCTGCCGATTTGTTTGCTTTTTTATTTTATTT